TCAGGGCACATGGTGTTTGTTTTGTTTTGTTTTGTTTTGTTTTCCATCCCTTTGGTCAATGGGCAACATGACGTTCTTTGAAGAGATTAATGCTTTTCTATTTCCAATAATGGCAGGCCAGTTTTTTAGACCAATCCTTTCACCGAAAATAAATGAAGGTATGTATCTGCCATTTTATGGTTTTTCTTCCTGGGCTCTTCTTGGTACATGAATAAATTGTGGTCTCCATGTTCAAGGAGTTCATAGGGACTCTTACAAAGTAAGAGTTTTCATGCATAATTGAAGAGATGACACAGAAAAATCAAAGTGGGGTTAGTGAGAGGAGTTAATCTTGAGCTATACTTGAAGGCTAGGAACTGCCAGAGTGGCACGGGGAAGGTATTCCAGGTAGAAAGCGTAATCAGTTTCCAGAAGGAGGGATTTAAGTCCTGGGCATGGACAGCAAGTGAACTGGCTGGGCTAGAGCAAAACGACCCTGTTGAGGACTGTAAAAATCCAGGTTCTTCTATATGAGCCCCACAATGCCTGGCACAGGACATTGGAGGAGTAGGTCATAAATATATTCTGGTTGATTAGTTAAGTCCGCCTGACTCCAGTGCAACGCTTGTTTACTAGAGTAGGCAATGAAGCTAAAGAGATATGAAGGGGTAGAGAGGTGAATCCTCATGTGGAGGACATATTGTTGGCCTTCAATTCTGAGAAACTGGGAAACTGAAACTAAACTAAAAAACCTGAACAAACTCTGCCTGGTATCTCGGTTTATTTTGACCTTCTCAACTGGACTCATAACCACTTATTGTGCAGTTTTGATTTACTTACACTCAATTCTTCGTCTCATCACTGACAAGGAAGAGGGAAGAGAAATTGTATCCTATGGAAGGAATACTGTTGGCCTTCAATTCTGAGAAACTGGGGAACTGAAAAGAAACTAAAAAATCTGAACAAACTCTTCCTGGTTTCTTAGTTTATTTTGGTCTGTCAAGTAAAGGACAAGAGATGTGCAGAGAAATTCCTCTAAGATTCTGAGTTAGAAAAACGCTAGTGACTTAGCTGAGACAACCTTCTCCTTTTACACTTTTTCAATTGCTTGGCCTGCTTAAACAATGTGTGGCTCTACTCTCCATAAGCACCTTGCTACCTGACAGAGGTGAGTATGGGGCACATCCATGATTTTAACTGGCTCATGGAGAACCTCTTCTTTTCCTTTATTAAATCTGGAGGTTATTTCTTGAGCAATTAATTCATGGTGATAAAAAAAATCCAGCAATATATTTACCACCAATCTTTAGATAAACATGAAAATGTTTAGATTTTGTCATCTGTTTTCATTGCTCTGTATGAAATAGGATTTTCAAAGGAATCTTCAACCTGGTAGTCATAAATAAATGACTAAATTAGCTTTGATTTTAGAAGCCGATATTGATGATTGCTCTTCTTTAAAATTCACAATTTCTAAGAATATACAATTTAAACACTTGAATTATAGTGGTCTGTATGGATTTAAAATCACAAAGCATAACTAATTTCATGGCCTATAGAAAGGCTTTTTCTGGTTCTTCCCTTTTGACATAAATGCAGAATCTCTGCCTTGTAACATTAAATGGAAACATCCCAGAAAAATGATAACCAAATTGCTGGTTTGGCTTTAAGATCCAGTGATTTTCTTTCAGATGAACCCCAAGGTACAATGAATTGTCATGGGGTTTTCCATACTGAGAAAAGTTTCAAAGTTGCAGATTGAAAACCTCCATTGAAACAAATGCATTATGTCACTTGAAATAAGAGCATCTGTACATACTTCACAAAATAATTTTCTTTGTTCAGCAGAGGAAGGCCAGATGATGCAATATCTAGCTTCCAGCTGCGCCTTCCTCACTGGCAATTCAGCCTCTTTTAGTGCTATTTGAAAGACTCCTGACCACTTACTGTGCAATTCTGATGTGCTTACACTCAATTCCTCATCTCATCACTGACAAGGAAGAGGGAACAGAAATTGTATGAGAATGCATGTGTCCACAAAGCAACAGAACGATGGTTATCTTTCCCTTAGGCATTATTTTTTAAACACAAACAGCACCAAAGGAAGAGGGAAATCAGTCAGAAGCCTTGGGGATTCAAATGAAGGAAATCCTCCCACAGGATAAAGCTACACATCCTATAGAAAGTACACAAACAGCATTCTAAGCTGGACGTTGTTATGATTGCTCAGAAGTTTTACCTTTCCCAAGCTCTTTAAACTATGAATTGTTTCATTCTGCCAAAATAGATGAGCTAATAATTTGGCTGCCTGCTATTAGGAGGTTAAAAGACAAGCAGAGAAGTCCCATAAATAAAACATAACCAAAATATTTCAGTTGATTTAAACACAGTCTTAGCACTTTAGAATTGATAATATTATCAGGGCCAAATGTTGAATAAGAAATACTCAAAATAAGAGTTTTGAGTTGAAACAGCTGTTAAATCAGCCATTTAATGAAGGAGAAAAAAATGTTCCAATTGTTTCATAATGTAAAAACACCTGAATGGCTGATAAGATTTTTAACTTTTCAAATTGTTATTGATTGCCATTGTCTAGCCTTTGATTGTTCTGAATCCAGAAAACTGAACTACTTATTTTCTGAAACTTTGCCCCAAGATAGATGTCTATGCTCTGGTACAACAATTTTTTTTAATAAACGAATAAGATTCATGGCTTCAAAGTGTCTTATGTGGACCTTCAAAGGCTTCATGGTACACCACCATGAAGATGTGTCCTTGGTTTAGGCTCTTGGAAGCAATTATGGTTTTTCCCTCTTATCCCTGCCCTCTTACCTGTATCCTATCATGAACAGAGATGTACACCAACATCAAGCCTAAAAAGTTAACCATTCTTTAACCGAAAAAGCCAGGTGAGTTTTTGCTTGCTGGTTTTGTTTCTGTTCTCAAACCAGCCACAACCTCTGGTGACCAGCAATGGGAAAAATGGAAGGAGCTCTCTGATCCTGTCCCCAGCTTCCCTGCCCATCACTCGTGCACACCCACATCCTCCTCAGGCCCGTAGGGTGACTTTATGATGACCACTGGCATGTTTAGATTTCTCAGATGTAGGAAGAACTTCAAAGCACAAATTCTTTTCATGGGGACACAAGTTTTAAACGATGTTTCATAACTGCATGCAACAGAAAAAATGGGGTCATCTAGGGATACACTTAACATTCCTGGGATTCTGGACATACTACCATGCTCACATAATTCTGTAACTAGAATGTTATAGTAAGCTTTTGCTCTAAGCAATTCATGGTAGACAATTTAAATAGACATCAAATGTAATGTGTTGTGAAGAGAGGTGCTGCCTGTGGCTCCAAGGTTCTTTAAATGAGTCAGTATATGCAAGCATCTAGTGCAGTTCCTGGCCCACATGAGAACTTGAGCCCTTCTTCCAAATGAGCCTCAGCTCCACAGAGGTTGTGAAATGCCTCCAGCTAATTTCCCACCCACTGCAAACAGATCTTGGCCTAACACCTGCCCAAAGTCCACTTATGTCGTTCCATCTGTGTTTCTCAAAATCCGACCTACAGACCACCTCCATCTCAAACACTTGGTGCGGTAAGAGTTAAAAATGCAGATTTCTGGACGCTTCTCCCGGCCTACTGAATCCAAAGCTCTGGGAAAGGGGACCAAGCATCCACTTTTTAATCAAAGTAATTCATTAAAGCTTGAGAATACCTGATATAGAGTTTCACAGTTCTATCCCTTTATTAACTTAAACCTTGGAAAAAGAATTCTGCACAGTGTCAAAGAGCCTGTTACAAAAATGACTTCACTGTTACTTAAAGTTATGTTCTCTGTCTTTATGGATGGCTGATTCAAGAGGCATCTGAGGGCTCATTTCAGTATTTTTGATACTGAAGTTAAGATTCTGTTCACTCCATAAATCTCTGCATTTTATATAAGAACCCATACCATTCATTTGTGATTTCATTTATTTGCAGGAAAAAAATCTATCTGCTGTTGGATTTATTTGCTTCCTGTTGTCAGAAAATGAAAAATATATAACTGTGTTTCTCTTACAGCTTTAGCTACTGGAAATCTTGTAGCAATTTTCTTGCCCAAGTGTGGCAATCTGTTCAATTCTGTGCTCCAAATACATTTACTCTTTCTTCTCCTTTTGGGTGAATTCTGTTTTCTTTCACATTTAAATGACATAGCCAGTGACTTCTGAACCACTTTAGACAGGGTATAAATTTTTACTAACTAGAGAGCATTTTTTTGCAGTGTTGTATTCTTGGCATGTAGTAATTCCTGAATGGCCACTTGAGTCAAGATTAAGAACTTGCTTGTTGTAGGATGCAGGACTAGTAGTACTGTGTTCTGTCCGATGAGTCTCTTATCAGTTTGGATACTTGGGTCTGGTTATATTTGTTTTGCTCATCTACTTTTACAAATGCAAGCCAGAGACAGGGAGTTATGATGCGCTTCCAATGCTTTCAGAATCCCAGAATCCTCTTGCCCTTTGTAGACTATGAATTTCTGAAGCAACGCAGCGTCTCCATGGCTACCTGACAAAATTACTAAGGCTGCCAGCGCCTGCTTCTACACGACTGTCAACTAAACAAATTTCTAGAGCCAATACAAGCAGAGGATTTGTGTCTCTGACTCCTGTAGGGGGAGATGTTGAGCATCCAGCTGAAGCCCAGCAATATTCCTGGCAGTGGTCACATCAAGATTTGCTTTGGTGGTGGCCAAACCTTCATGCATAGAAGGTGGCCCCATGAGTCATTTTCACCCCCAAACTTCCCACTGTTTATTAATCACTTAGGGCAACCACACACTCACGGCGAAGTTTTAGTTGGAACAGCAACGAATTTTGCTTAACTTTGCTTCCCTGTATGAGTCCTCTGCTTTCCTCGGCACCCAACATCAAAGCACTAGTTACTTAACAGAGCCTTGCAATGCCCACAGAAGTTTCTTTTTAAATTGTTTTATTTTATTTATTTTTATTTTTACAAAATTCAGGTGGTAAAAATATGGAACCCTTCACCAATTTGCATGTCATCCTTGCACAGGGACCATGCTAGTCTTCTCTGTATCATTCCAGTTTTAATGTATGTGCTGCTGAAGTGAGCACCCAGAAGTTTCTTTACACAGACCTGTCATGAGACAGCTTCCATTTCAGTTCAACTCAAACACAATGAAGAAATCCTCTTTGAAATATCCCTACTGAACTGTTATTATCCACACTACCTAAAAGCAAAATTCCTTAAGGGTAGTATGGCTTAAGGTTTAAGTACACACACTTTGGATTCAGAAAGACCAGGATTCAAATCCTGGCCCTGCCTCTTACTATATGTGTATCATTAGGTAAATTACACAATCTCTAGGACCTGCTTGTTCATCTGCAACGTACAGACATTAGTAGTACTATTTCAAGAGTAGTTATTACAACTAAATGGTTTAAGAAGTATCTGGGTGCAGTGGCTCATGCTTGTAATCCCAGCACTTTTGGAGGCCTAAGAGGGTGGATCATGAGGTCAGGAGATTGAGACCATCCTGGCTAACAAGGTGAAACCCCGTCCCCACTAAAAATACAAAAAATTAGTTGGGCATGGTGGCATGTACCTATAGTCCCAGCTACTACTCAGGAGGCTGAGACAGGAGAATCACTTGAACCTAGGAGGCAGAGGTTGCAGTGAGCCGAAATTGGGCCACTGCACTACAACCTGGGTGACAGCACAAGACTTCATCTCAAAAAAAAAAAAAAAAAAGAATTTAGCACATAGTAAGAACTTAATAAAATAGTATTTATTAGTACTCACAAAGTAATCTGCTCTGAGATGAACAGCTCTATTGACAGCAAGTTCTTTCTTATACTAAACAGATAAAAATTTGTCTCATTTGTCCCACTCTTTCTTCCTAGTTCTGCCTTCAGAAGCTATCCAGAATAAGTATATTCCTTCTTCCACACAACAGCACTTTAAATATTTGAAGACTCTATTGTGTGCTTCCTTTCATATATTTGAGAAGAGGTATCATTTTTTTCCAGTTTGACTTTATCTACTTCCTTCAACTGTGTCCCAAATAACTTTGGATCTGTCACCATTTGTGGCAGAGCTAACTAGACACTCCCCAATCCATTTCCTCTTCGTGGGCATACAAGAATACCCTAGCCATTAGATTGGGGCATGTGACTGGGTTTTGGCCAATAAAACGAGATTAAGTGTATGTGTGCTACTTCTATGCCCAGCCATATGTCTTATGAGATCTTCCTTGATCTCTTTCACTCATTGGCTTGCTTAGCACAGAGGATCCTATGGAAAATTCTCAGGATGCACTAAGAGGCATGGAATCTGTGAAATGGAAGAAGCTCGAATCCCTATGTCAGCACATAGAAGGCTACCTCTTATGCACATGTCAGACTATAACATGAGTGTTGTATTAAGCCATTAACACTTGAGGATTGGGCCAGGTGCAGTGGCTCACACCTGTAATCCCAGCACTTTGGGAGGCTAAGGATGGGAGGACTGCCAGAGCTCAGGAGTTTGAAACCAGCCTGAGCAACATAGCAAGATCCCCATCTCCACAAAAAATTTAAAAATTAGCTGGATGTGGTGGCTCACTTGTAGTCCCAGCTACTTGGGAGGCTAAGGTGAGAGGGTAAGCTTGGGCCCAGGAGGTCAAGGCTGCAGTGAGCCATGATCATGCCACTGCACTTCAGCCTGGGTGAAAGAGCAAGACCTTGTCTCAAACAAACAAACAAAAAGACTTGAGGGTTTATTTATCACTGAAATATATCCTAGTCTGCCATGGCTAATATATCTTTGTAGTTACATTCTCTGGACATGCGCTAGCCTGTCAATGTCATTTTTTAAAGATGCTATCCAGAAATGAACACAATTATTCAAATGTGACCTGACCCTGATGGAATAAAACTGGAAAACTCCTTCCTTCTTTTGCTGTTGTTGTTTTTTTCCTGAGTACCATATTTATTTTTTTCCAGTGCTTTCCAAAGTTGCCTTATGCCTAGCAACCACATTACACATACACAGGTGGCACAAGCTACATTTGTAGTTAACTAAAAACACTGCAGTATTTTTCAAGCCAACTGTCATCAAGCTAAGTGTGACACAGTCAGTGTTCACCAAATATCCCATTTGCTTTCCTGCACTTCCCAGCCTCCCTCAGTTTGGCTGGGGCCGCATTCGTAGTTTCAGGGGCATGTGTCACTCCTGAGTCAAGGCAGTTAAGAGCCACTATGTCTCTTTCATTCCTTTCTTCCCCTGCTGCAGATACCTTGGAGGACATATTCCACATGAAGGTAGGCTTCCCATCAGACTTTGCATAAATGAGAAATAAATGTTTACTCTTTAAAATACTGAAAATTCTGAGTCTGTTTATTGTAGCTAAATTCCCCAGACTGCTACTTGTGCAATTCATTTGCTTGTGTGTTAATTCAAAACTTTGTATTTATTTTTATTAACTTAAAAAAAAATTTTTTTTGAGACTGAGTCTCACCCTGTTGCCCAGGCTGGAGTGCAGTGGCATGAACTCGGCTCACTACAACCTCCGCCTCCCAGTTCAAGCGATTCTTCTGCCTCAGCCTCCCAAGTAGCTGGGATTACAGGTGCATGCACCACCACATCTGTCTGATTTTCATATTTTTAGTAGAGATGGGGTTTCACCATATTGGCCAGGCTGGTCTCAAACTCCTGACCTCGTGATCCTCCTGCCTTAACCTCCCAAAGTGCTGGGATTACAGACATGAGCCACCGTACCCAGCCACTTTTAAAATTTTTATTCATGAATTGTGTATCTACAGAAAAGTGCCATATCATAAGTGAATTAATTCAACAAATTTTCACACACTGAAGACACATGTCTAACTAACAAAAAGGAGAATGTAACCAGCACCTCAGAAGCCCCTTTGCATCCTCTGTCAGCCACTATCTGCCTTCTAGAAGCACAGATTAATTTTTATGTTTTTGTGTTTTACATAAACAGAATCATGCTGTGTGTACTCTCTTGCTCAGTACTAGATTTGTAAGTTTCATCCACAATGTCTTGTGTGGCTATTGTTGGTTCATTTTTGTTGTTAGAAAACACTCTATTATGTAATTATACTGCCTCTTCATTCTCTTAATGGTATATGTGATAAAACAAAATTAACCAATTTTTTTCTTAAATTTCTACTAAATTTCCTTTTAAAAACTTTATTGTTTTACTGTTAAAATTTAAACTGACAACCCAGCGGGAGCAAAATTTGGGGGCATAGTATGAGACAGAAATCAAAATAGACTTTTTTCGTTTGGATAGCCATTGACCCAACACCTTTTACTGAAATTATCATCCTTTCTGTATTGCATTGAGGGACGTTTTTGTCATAAGTCAGGCAAAATGCATGTGTGGATTCTGTTTCTAATCTTTCTATTCTGTTCCTTTTGGTTTTTTTGCCTCTCCTTTGCCAATACCACATATTTTAATCAGCCTGATATATCTATGATGTATATCCTCCAATTTTGCTCTGCTTCTAAAATGCTTTTACTATTCTGGGTTGTTTGTACTTCCATATGTATTTTCGAACTATCTGGGCAATCTCTGCAAAATAATCTGTGGTGTTCTGACCAAAGTTTTGTTGAATCCATACATTTATTTGTGTAGAACTCACTTCTTTCCCCCACTGCCATCCCGAGACAGAGTCTTGCTGTGTCACCCAGGATGGAGTAGAGTCAGGTGACCTCAGCTCACTGCAACTTCCCCCTCCTGGGTTCAAGTAGTTCTCCCTGCCTCAGCCTCCTGAGTAGCTGGGATTACGGTTCCCGCTATCACACCTAATTTTTTTTTATTTTTTAGTAGGGACAGAGTTTCACCATGTTGGCCAGGCTGGTCTTGAACTCCTGACCTCTGGTGATCTGCCCACTTTAGCCTCCCAAAGTGCTGGGATTACCACGCCAGGCCAGAACTCACTTCTTTATAATACTGAGTCTTCCAACCCATTAGTCTGATCTCTTCCTCCACTAATTTAGGCATTCTTTAATTTTCTGTGAATAATGTTTTGTAATGTTTAGGGTAAGCATCTTGCATGTCTTTTGTTAAATGTATATCTAGGTAGTTAATGGTTTTCATGCTGTTGCAAATGACATTTCATTTTCTATTTGTTTGTTGCTGGTATATAAAAATACAATGATTTTTGTATCTATGTCTTATATCCAGAGACCCTGCCAAAGTCACATATCAATATAATTTGTCTGTAGATTCTTTTGGATTTTCTACATATGCAGCCATGTTATCTGTGAATGATGACATTTTGTTTCTTCCCTTCCAATCCTTATGCCTCTCTCTAGTGTGTTTTATCTTTCATTTTTAAGTCTAAAGTTCCAACTGGTTGAGGTAATTTCAAATCATGATTTTATAACCCAGAATATTATCTGCTTTCCCACAATTTGTAAAATTGGTGGATAACAAAGGTACATTCTGTATGCTCATTCAAATCAGTGTCCAGTGAAAGTTCTTTTAAAAGGCTGAAAACAAAGCCATAGAGAAGACCTCAGGAGATTTGCTTCCAGCATGAAACTGACCAATTAGTTATCATTGGATGCAAGTATTCAAACTGTCACTTGATCCATCCAAATATGTCTCAGCCAGTATCCACTTCTTCTCTAAAATATCATGAGATATTTCATCGAATTTTACTTGAAATCCATGTATGTTATGGACCAATGATTCTCTATCTCTTTAGACTGAAGATCTTATGAAAGATGTAAAATGTTTGTTTACTCCTTTCTTACTGAATAATTCTGCTGACCTCTTGGTGATGACTACTTCTCTAAGTAATCATAAAATACCTGCTTAAGAATTTGTTCTGGCATTTAATTTGCTGGAAGCCACTTTTCTCTCCCTTTGGGGGACTTCGCGTACCACAGCTGCTCATCTCTAGTTCCCTATCATGTTTCCTAGCCTCCACGGCTTTTACAGAATCATTGATATTTTGAGAGTGCTAATACAAGTGACTCCAGTTCTGAGTTCTAATCCATCTGTGGTTGAGAATGTAAATACCCTTAATGCAGCAAGTGAAGGTCTAATCATGTCCTCACTTAGTGTATCAGTCAAGACATAGAATCCCCCTTCTTTCCC